ACATATACTATCTAATAAATTTCAAATAAACATCTAATATATCATCCATAAATATCTAATAAATTCAAAATAACATCATCCATAAAACAAAAAGAAGAAATACTATGTGTCTTCGTCTTCCTCATCGTTGTTTTCCTTATTGTTGACTTGGTTTTTAAACGAGCGAATAATGTCTCCAATAGCCGTCACAAATGTCGGTTTTTGAAGAAAAGTATTCACATCAACATCCTACAATTAAATAACAAGCACATTAAGTCATTAACAATTCAACAAACTATCAAACCATCAAAGCACCAAATGAATTAAGTCGTTAACAATTTAAAAAACTATAAAGTCGTTAACAATTTAACAAGTACCTATGTTGATTACGGTGCTTGTGACTGTGACTGGCATTGGGATGGAGCACTTGTACCCGCAGCTGAAGAAGGTTTAGGCCCAATGCCTCTCACATGCCCCCTTCCTGTACCCAACACATTCTCAAATATTGCGATCCAATCAATGGTGTCTGGATCACCACCAGAGTCGGCTATGTGATGAGTCTGTAGAGCAACCTCAGCAACTAAGGCATTTTGTATTTCATAAAGATTGTTAATATATGTTAAAACTAACACAACAATTTACTTCATTTTTAAGTAATAATAACTTACATATTGGTCTTCAACCAAAGAATCAACAAATTCGCCTTTTTTATTCACATGCGCACAATGAAATGCTTCAAGTCTATTCAAATTCTGTTTAACATTACAAAATATGTTATACTTGAATAAACATTAAAAAATATGTTATAACTGAATAAACATTATCGTAACTTACTTTCTTAAAACAAGCACTACCGTAGCTGCACGTCCCTCAATGATTCTTAACTACTTGCTTCTTCCGACATTCTTTGTTTCCAGCGGATCGTTTTTAATGCTTTTTTTGTTAAGAAGTGGTCAATAGCAGCATTCCAACTCTGCAGATCCATACCCGTAGGGGCTTGAGCCCTTGCTGCCTCCACATCCCCTGCAAAACCAGTCAAACGATTTTTTGCAACATTTTTGCGGCCTCTATACCGCACACATATCTGATTGTTCAGTGACGCCAATAAGTTGTAGCCATGGGATCATTTATAATCCCTCCAAAATCAAACCATGTCTACAAAAAATAGAGAAATTAAAAATAAATCAAATTAAACAATATTAAATATATAACTTTATAAACAATTTACCGAAAGATATTGGAACATGCCAACCCTTTCGGCTTCAGAAAAATCATTCCATGTGTCCTTGTCAAAAACTACGTCCCGCCACATATAGCTCCCAACCTCCCGAATGAAACATTTATACACCTCCCCAATCGGCATGTTAGTATTTATGTCGAATATTATCTTTAGAGGCCGTTCACCATTAGCTTTAAATAGTTTGTGCATTTTTTTATTTACCGCCATGCCTCTTCGTCTCGGAGGCACCGCTGCATAAAAAATATTAGTCAAAATAATTTTTTATATACGTACAATATGAAATACAATGAATTAGAAAAAATCTTAATTACCATCGTTCTGGTGATCACCAAAACCTCCACCGAACGGATGTGGTGGCTCGTCACCACTATCGCCTCCATGGCCCATCACAACAACCATGAGATGGAGCAATGCAATAAAAAAAAATAACATCCTGAAAAATTATAACACAATATGAATATGTATACATATAATATGATATGATTACAACAAATACAAACCTTATTTTACTAGTCAAATGTAAAGATATTTTTAATCATTCTCTCCCTCAGACACTCCAGCTGACACATCACTATCATAATCGGAATCTTCCTCATCATAATCAGTCTCGCAATCAGACACATTATTGATGATACTCGTTGGTGGGTCAACTTCAATATCATCTTCAACCGAATGAGAATTTTGAAAGTAGTGGCTAAATTCGATTGAGAGAGTGAAATTAGAAGAAACATTACTAAGAACGACATAAGTTGAATCATTGTCGACATTTTCAATGGGATCATGGTCGACATCGTTCATCGGTAGATCCCAAATTCTTCTATGATTAACATTTTCAACAACCCACTGTTGGTTGTCATTTTCGTCACTCCGAGAAGGTTCTTAGATGTAAAATACTTGCTTGGCTTGCATAACAAATATGAGTTGATCTTCGCTGCTCAATTCACGTTGTGGGTCGATACTGGTGAAATTATTATTAGATTTAACTCCTGCAGTATCGAACCACTTGCAACGAAAAAGTATGGTGGAATATTTATGCGGATAATGCAACTCGATAAAGTACGGTGGAAAATTTACTTTTTTATTATAGCATTGTAATTTAAATAATTCAGTTATTATATTATAACTTAGTAGATTTATCGTATTAATTTTTTATTTTTATTTTTTATTATAGCATTATACTTTAAACGATAGTATACATTTGTTATTTATATCATCTTTTTTTTCTCATATTTTGATTTTTAATATCAACTTATTTTTTTTTTCTATTTTGAGTAAATTATAACTTAGTAGATTTAGCGTTTTAATTTTTAATTTTTAATTTTTATTATAACATTGTACTTTAAACGATATTATATATTTGTTATTTATTTCATTTTTTTTTCATATTTTGATTTTTAGTATCAAATTATTTTTGTTTTTATTTTTCTATTTTGAGTAAATTATAACTTAGTAGATTTAGCGTTTTAATTTTTTTTTTTTTTATTTTTTATTATAACATTGTATTTTAAACGATATTTTATATTTGTTATTTATTTCATCTTTTTTTTTTCCATATTTTGATTTTTAATATCAACTTATTTTTGTTTTTTTTTTCTATTATGACATTATACCTTTTTGTATTTATTTGTATTTATATTATCTTAGTTATTTTATTTTTTTATTATATTATAATACTTTAAAAAGACATTGTAGATTACAACATCTTTTTTTTTTTCAATTATAACATCCTATCATAACAAACATATACATCTAATATACACATATTTTATCATAACATACAATATACACACAAACAAATGCACTTACACATATTTTTTTACATATATTTTTTCATACATAAAAATACATTTAAGATAGAAATACATATACACATTTCAATACAAACACCTACATTTTCACATAAAAAGCCTACATTTCATATATATATATTTTTTCACAAACATTTTTTCATATATGCCCACATACATACATTCACATAGAAATACACTTATACATATTTTCACATACACTTTTTATACATACATATACACATACATATTTTCTTACAAATTCACATATACACATTTACATATACATTTTTACATACATAATCATACATGTAGATATCACATATACCAAAATACACACATTTCACATACCAAAATACACACATTTCACATACAAAAATATAAACTTCACATACCAAAATATATACAATTCACATATACTGTCACAAATATAAAGATGAAATAAATGTCATAATAGAAAAATAAAAACAACCGGAAAAAAAAAAGAAAAAAATGAAATAAAAACAAAGTTATAATTAGAAGCACCTGCTGAGTCGCCAAAAAAATAACCGGTCGCCGGAAAATGGTGACACCCGTGGTGCTGTGGTGGTGATCACCACCAAAGACTAGTTAAAAATAAAAAAATAAAAACATGAAATTAGAGCTAAATATGGTAAGAAAACAAGAGAAAGGGAATAGGGAACAGAAAACGTACGTTATAGGAGGTTTAGGGTCGCCGGAAAACTCGGAACTCGCCGGAAATCGTTGGAAACGCCGGTAATCGCCGGAAATCGGTGGTAATTGCCGTAAATCGGTGGAAATCAACGGAAATTGGGGTCCTAGAAGCAATCTACGGTTAGTGGTGGTATGGGTTGGTGTATTACGCCGGAAAAACAAAGTTCGCCGGAGGTTTTGCGAGAAAGAAAAGTTGCAGAAATGATGCGTCTGGGAAGAAGTGGAAGTCAAAAGGGCGCCACGTTTAGCGGCACAAATGGGCAATAGCGGCGACACGTTGGAGGGAAAAAACACGCGCTATTCTATGGTCACTATTAACTGTCCGATCCAAAATCAATCGAACGGCCAGGATGACTTTGACGCGGATCACCATCAATAGCGGCGACGTGTCGTCGCAATTGGTGTCACTGCTATTACTTCCCACGAGATGAAACCCTAGCCGATGGATCAGTTTAGCATCGTATGGTCACGATCAAATGACGTGTGGCAAAAAAGGATTGCTGGTGGCAGACCTTTAGCGACGACGTATATAGATATATACGACAAGACTCTTTAGCAGCGACATGATATATTGTCGTCGCTAAATGCTGTTGTCGTCGCTATTGATGTCGTCGCTAAAGGGCTGATTTCTTGCTCTGAAGGTAAAACCAAGAAGAACAAAAGAATGTAACATGTAGGAAGAAACAGATGGAATAGGGAAAGAAACGGAGGACATGAGGGTAATAAACAAAATACTTGTTTACTTGGTAATTGGTTTTGAATTAAACGTAAAACTGAATAATAATTAACCTAAACATAACCGCTATTTATACTAATCATAATATACCCCTAGTCTAACTCAAATACCACATAAAAGTCAAGATTCCTAAAATACCCTTTAAATTAAAACTGTCATATTTTGAATTACTAACATTCAAAATGAAAATGCAATGAAAGAACAGAATATAGAGTATAGACTTCAAAACACAATCATAAATTTAGTACCATACGACTCGAATTCAAACACAGAGTACAAATGCAACCAAAAACACAATATCCAGAACACAACACTAAGGTGTACACCATAAACTAGAAATGCAACAACACCTGAGACACGACATACTGAAAATAAAAACATCTCAACACGAGATATACGGAACCACAAAATGCAAATGTTAATGAAGACATAAAGACGACGATTATAAAACTTGACTCAGTTTATACTCCTTATTTTATGTGACGGTTGTTCTTGACTTCCAACAGGGTGAAACCACGACCCAACCACCAGTCTGCCTGACCATCTATATATTGTCTCCAGTTGGTGGGTTTACTAAATTTGGAACCAGTATATCTATATCACCTTCCTCTGGCTCCGGCGGGAGATTTAGGTCAAAGAGGTGTTTTGGGCTTGAACCTGACAACTTTTCTACATTTTGATCCTCGACTTCAGAGCCAACAATGACCACCGTTTGGTGGTTTGAGTTAGAAGTTCCAATCTCCGGTGGCTTAGGTACGTCTTCAGGCTGAGGTAAAGCTTTTTGTGTTTTCCGGATTGAGGTAGAGATTCTTGTTTTTCCAAGCTTGCGACGAGCATTTTTGGAGCGTTTCTTACCACGACGGGGATTCAAAACTCGCCGATATTCAGTGGATGTGCATCTGCAACATTCACATGATGGTTTGTGTTTGGACCTACTTGGAGCCTGCATGCAGACAATGCAGGCGCATCCAACTCGATGACGGGGGTGTTTCTTGTTCGTCTTTGGTGGCTGTGGTGTCGCCACCCCATTCTCCACCCGGGTAATAGCAGCTACGTCCAGCCCCTTGACTGTTTCAACTCGTTCAGGGTCCACATTTCTAGTCTTCATCTTCTTCGGAGATCCTACAGGTCATAAAATTAACATACATATTAATTAATTATTTCGAAACAAGAACCAAATGAAAGAAAACAACATCAAGATTATTGGTACCCTGATTGTTCACAGAAAATATATTTTTTATTATGTCCTGAGTTAACTCTTCTTTCGCAGAACATCGCAACCTTAGTGGATCCCAATGGTTTTGCCTACAGGTCCAGTTTGCCGAAATTTCAGCATCAACGGGAACTTTACGCCATTTGTAACATTTATCGCATTGGGCCCATTGCACAATACCGCTAATTAAAAAAACAAAGCAAGTTTAATTTAGCATTTCATAAGAACATTAAGATATAATTGAACCCAAAGGAATCATTTAGAGCAGTGAACTTACTGATCAAGCTTTTTGAACATGGAAGGCCTTCCGATGATCGGATCATCCTTATAACTCTTGAGTTTTACTCCATCTAGCACCATCTTTGAAGGAGGATTACTACCAGGACATGGTCGTATTAGTTTTTGACCACCTTCGAAAGAGAGAGCAAGATTAGCCATCTTGTTTTCATTGTCAGTGCTTTCACTAGTCAAACCGATTTCACATTGCTTTCTCTTATGGCCTACGAGGACTTTCGGTCCAACCATACTTGACTTTGAGTGAACACTTTTCGAACCATTTCGCTTCTCCTGGCTAACGATACAAGGCAGAGCCAATATGGTAGGCTTGGAAAGCCTTTTTCCAATGCTAGCTCTTGGCATGCTCTGCAGATTAACGATAGTTCAACACTTTATAAATAAGTAGATCCCCAACACATCAAACTCTATAATGTTTAATAAACTTAAACAATTATTCCATTTTTAATATAAAGTATTAAACAATTAGTAACATCCTATTAGGATTTGACTTCAATCAATTGAAGCCTAACTACTATGGTAGGTTATTCAGAAATTTAATTAAAATATGTATTATAGATCCTGTAAGCGTATATTAAAATTTTCAATTCTAAAACGGCTTCATTGTTGTTGTAATTGATCATAGCCTCTTCAGATTTGATGTAGCTTTGTTGTAAAATTTTTGGCTTTATTTTGGTTTTTTCTACTCTTTTTTCCATAAAATTCTATTGAAACAATTTGTCAAGGAACTAGAATAGTTGCTTCTATCTAGCAAAGTTTTTAAATGAACTCTAACTGGATGATAGAAAATTACCTTTTCAGAATTTGTTCTTTTAGTACGAAGGCAAGATTTTGATCCACGCACATCCGAGTAAATATTTATCGAATCATTTGGAATCTCATGGATAAGAGTAGAAGGCATAGTTGATATGGTCTTATCCTTTAAAACCCCGTTAGTAGTGCTCTCTATTACATTGCCCTATACATAATGATCATTTATAAGATTATGAACAAGTGTTGATCTCAAAAGAGATATGTCTAAAATAAATGTTAAATGAAATCGCAAAAAGCGTATGGTTGAGTTCAATCAACTCAATGTGTAGCTACCAAGCATTTTGACTTATTCAACCATTTTTTTTAAATATGTATTGTGAATGTTTTAAGTATATCAAAATTTTCGAGTCTAAAATGGTTTTATTGATGTTTTAATCCGATCATAGCCTTTTTAGATTTGATGCAACTTTGTTGTAACAATTTTGGCTTTAATTATTATTTTTTTCTACTCTTTTAGCATAAAATTTTATTGGAGCTAGAATAGCCAATTCTATCTAGAAAAGTACCATTTCAGAATTCTTTCTATTTGCACGAATGTAGGATTTTGATCCACGCACATCTAAGTGAATATTCACCGGATCGTTTGTCTTCTCATGGCTAAGCGTAGAAGTCATAGTTGATATGGTTTTATCCTTTAAAATCCCATTAGTAGTTCTCTCTATGCCCTGTAGATAATGATCATTTATAATATTATTAACAAGTCTTGATCTCAGAATGAGGTATATCTAAGTTAAATGACAAATGAAATCACAAAAAGTGTACAGTTGATTTCAATCAATTGAATGTCCAGCTATTAGGCATTGTTGTCTTGTTCATCCATTTTATAAAAGTATGCATTGCAAATGCTCAAAGAATATATTATAATTTTCGAGTCTAAAATGGTCGTATTGGTGTTTTAATCTGATCATAGCCTTTTTAGATTTGATGCAACTTTGTTGTCCTAATTTTGGCTTTAATTATTATTTTTTTCTACTCTTTTAGCATAAAATTTTATTGGAGCTAGAATAGCCAATTCTATATAGAATATATGTTGAATGAACTCTTAATGGATGGTAGAAAAGTACCATTTCAGAATTCTTTCTATTCGCACGAATGTAGGATTTTGATCTACACACATCTAAGAGAATATTCACCGGATCGTTTGTCTTCTCATGGCTAAGCGTAGAAGTCATAGTCGATGTGGTTTTATCCTTTAAAATCCCATTAGTAGTTCTCTCTATGCCCTGTAGATAATGATCATTTATAATATTATGAACAAGTCTTGATCTCAGAATGAGGTATATCTAAAATAAATGACAAATGAAATCTCAAAAAGTGTACGGTTGATTTCAATCAATTGAATGCCTAGCTACTAGGCATTGTTGTCTAGTTCATCCATTTTATAAAAGTATGCACCGAAAATGCTTTAAGAATATATCAAAATTTTCGAGTCTAAAATGGTGTTATTGGTGTTTTAATCCAATCATAGCCTTTTTAGATTTGATGCAACTTTGTTGTAACAATTTTGGCTTTATTTATTATTTTTTTCTACTCTTTTAGCATAAGATTTTATTGGAGCTAGAATAGCCAATTCTATCTAGAATATATGTTGAATGAACACTTAATGGATGGTAGAAAAGTACCATTTCAGAATTCTTTCTATTCGCACGAATGCAGGATTTTGATCCACGCACTTCTAAGTGAATATTCACCGGATCGTTTGTCTTCTCATGGCTAAGCGTAGAAGTCATAATCGATGTGGTTTTATCCTTTAAAATCCCATTAGTAGTTCTCTCTATGCCCTGTAGATAATGATCATTTATAATATTATGAACGAGTTTTGATCTCAGAATGAGGTATATCTAAAATAAATGACAAATGAAATCACAAAAAATGTATGGTTGATTTCAATCAATTGAATGCCTAGCTACTAGGCATTGTTGTCTTATTCATCCATTTTATAAAAGTCCGCGCGCATTGCAAATGCTCTAAGAATATATCAAAATTTTCGAGTTTAAAATGGTCTTTTTGATGTTGTAATCCAATCTTTTCCTGTTCAGATTTGATGCAACTTTGTTGTAATAATTTTTTTTTTATTTTGGTTTTTGCTACTCTTTTAACATAAAATTTTATTGAAACTTTCTATCAAGCAGCTAGAATAGCAAATTCTATCTAGAAAAAAATGTTGAGTGAACACTAAATGGATGATAGAAAATACCATTTCAGAATTCCTTCTATTAGCACGAATGCAGGATTTTGATCCACGCACATCTGAGTGAATATTTATCCGATTGTTTTGAATTTCATGGCTAAGCGTAGAAGGCGTAGTTAATGTGATCTTATCCTTTAAAACCCCATTAGTAGTGCTCTCTACCATGCCCTGTAGATAATGATCATATATAACTTTATGAACAAGTGTTTATCTTACAAAGAAGTATGTCTAAAATTAATATAAAATGAAATCCTAAAGAGGGTATGGTTGAGTTAAATTATTTGAATATGTAGTTACTATGAATTTTGTCTTTTTCAACCATTTCATTAATGTATGCATTGCGAATTCCCTAACAATATATCAAACTTTTCGAGTGTAAAATAGTCGTATTCGTGTTGTAATACACTCTTAACCTCTTCGGATCATATGCAACTTTGTTGGTTTTATGCGGAAAAATCTCATTATTTTGGGAAAATTTTAATAAAGTTCTAAAAGTTTTTTTTTTAACAGAAAAGTTTTCATTATTTTGAGAAAATCACATAATCTATCATTTCCTGTTTAAATATAAAAAATGATTTTTGCGTTAATTTGAACAAAATGTTAAATAATTAGGACTTTTCTGTTAAAAAAAACTTTTAGGACTTTATTAAAAATTTTCCCAAAATAATGAGAGTTTTCTGCATAAAATCCTAACTTTGTTGTAACAATTTTAGCTTTATTTTAGTTTTAGCTACTCTTTTTAACATAAATTTGTATCGAAATAATCTATCAAGGAGCTAGAATAGCCAGTTTTATCTACAATAGATGTTGAATGAACTCTAAACGAATGATAGAAAAAAAAATATATATATACCATTTCAGAATTCTGTTTCTTAGCACGAATTGAGGATATCGATCCACGCACATCTGAGTGAATATTTATGGGATCATTTGTCTTATGGCTAAGTGTAGAAGGCATAGTCGATGTGGTCTTATCCCTTAAAACTTCGTTAGTAGTGCTCTCTGTTACCATGCCCTATACATAATGATCATTCATAACATTATCAACAGCTGTTAATCTCACAAAGAGGTATCTCTATATAAATGTTACATAAAATCAGAATGATAGAAAAGTACCATTTTAGAGCGTTTTCTCTTAGCAGGAATGGAGGATTTCGGTTCAACCACATCCGAGTGAACACTTCTCATAACATTTTGCTTCTCTTTGCTAAACGTAGTAAACATCGTTGATTTGGTCGTCCCCTTTGAAACCCCCACACTAGTGCTACCGATTACCATGTTCTGTAGATAACAAGATAATTTGAGACATTAATGATATAATAAAGTGGCCTATATATCTAGATTAAAATAATAGTATTAATTAATAATATTCCGAGTTCTAAAATGGTACCAGTTTAGCTTTCCGCTTAGATGGGGACGGAGTTTTAGCCTCTCGAAATAGACCGATTTTGCTAGATGAGGAAGCACTTGTAGCATTCCGATGTCCAATAACAAGCTTTCCTTCAGGCTCCAATCTACCAAACATCACTGATCAAGAAGACATAACTGTTAGCATTCTAAAAGTTATTATTATCTTTATGTATAATGTAAGGACTATGATTGTCATTTTTATTTAGTTTTATTTATTTATTCAATTTCCATGTTGAGCCTTTGGCTTATTAGCATTCAACAAGAGATTAATTTTTCAATTTTAAAAAGATATCAGATTGACTTCTAGCATTGAGATACCTAGCTAACACACATGTCATCATCTCATCTAATTAATCATCTATCCTCGTGTGAAAGAACACAGTGGAGTCTAACGTACTAATCATGGTCTAGTTAACATTACGAGATTTTAAAAGGACAATGGACTTCAAATATTTCATATGTGTTAATTAAACATATGCTACAAATTAATAATTTCTTAACTAGGCAATAACCAATAGAAGAAAGTCATATAATATCAAATTATCAATCACAAGTGACATTTGTTTGTTTATTTATTACCTGTATCACCCGGTTTCAACTTCATCGACGTAACATAATAATTGAATCCTTCAAGGACGTACATTCGGCTATTATTATTTGGCCAGTATCTAAAATTAAATTCCCAATCTTTCCCATTTAAATCTTGAATTTCAACAGGTTTTCCTTCAGGAATATCAATCGAAGGAAAGTATCCCTGTAAAAAAAAAATTAAATAACTTAGCAACGACAAAATTAACGTGTTTCTTGGACGAAAAAACAAAGAAAAAAATATACTAACCTCTGCACATTTCTTAGGAAGCACCAAACGTCCGATCTTCCCAGTGTCACTAACAGTCAACACCTTCTCAAATAGAGGAATTACTTTGACATTTGACCTGTCACAGATCATATATAAATGAACATGATTAATAATTAGGGTGAATATTGTTTCCATATTGCAAATAAACATATTTCAATATTTGAAAGAATACATACCCTCTAGACATCTCTTTGAGCTCTTGTTCAGTTAATCTGGGCACGTAACGGTGTTCACTTCGAGGCTTTCGAATACGATCTTTATCTCCAGTAGATGAGTTACCCTTGTTGGATTCAAGAAATACCGGTGGTGGGGTTGAACGTTCATCGCCTTTTTCAGACACCTTTTCTTTACCTTTACCCACTACTGTCGGTGGAACCCTAGCAAGAGAGGTGGGGCTGGGGGTGGTTAGTTCTTTGCAATGAATATTGACTCCTGATATGGTATTTGTTGCACTAATATTTGAACTTCCGACCACCAATCTCTCAGCTTCATTCACCCTTCGATCACCCAATGGAGGGGAAGGCTTATGCCCTCGTGCGATAAGTCTACTTACACAAGGTGTCGTAGACTGGATTTGTGGTCGGTTGGATGAATTTAACAAAAGAGGTGCAGTCTTGCCGACAGAGTTACTAGTACTTCCTTCAAAATTTGGCTGGAGGGAAGTTCCACGTGGCAATGTGATATCGTTTGCCATCTGAAAGAAAATAGAATTTGTTGAAGAACAATGTATGACTTTTATAACGATATGAAAGAACTTTAGATAATCATCTACTTGTATGATCGTGCTTACCAAGATCTCATGTTCTGTCGTGCAGTCAAGACACTTGATTCCTCTGGGTCTCGATACTACATATAAAGATCGAGAAGCTATGCATCCATAATGAATTGGCTGCACGGATTATAACATAAATTTTCTCGTAAGAAATTATCATGTTAACGAAAAAATATATATTTTTAGTTCTATATGTATAAATGATGATTAATATTTTTACCTTCTCGCAAGATATGCAACGTTTCCAGCCATTCGATTTATCATGATAAATTCCGCAAAACTTCCCACGCTTAAATGTAACACTACAGTCAAAATCAACAAGCGACAATGTTACTTCAGATCTAAAAACGAAATAATGACAACATAAGAAACGCTACACATGGAGTATTAAAACTTTAAATCGCAACTAGATACATAATCTTTAATTAATGGATCATGCATGCAGAACTCATGAACATCAATCGGAAGGTTTCCGTTAGTGTATCACGTGTTTACGATAAACAATGCAAAGATGGAAAGATCACAAGGTTAAAAAGCTTAACTTTATAAACAAACTAATGCGAAATTTCAGCAAAAATATTACTTGTATCACACGAATTTAGGACAACATCAAATTTGTTAAAAAAAACTAAAGCGACTCATGATCAGTCGGTACAAACGGGCTTACTAGCATCCTTCGCAAAGTTCAACAGAATAACCATTTTCACACTTCCAGGCCTCTCTCGGAACGTTCGTAAGTTTGCGACATTTGTTGTTGCAGCAAAGCTTTGGCAGATTGGAAGAGAGAATCATGTTTTCCATTAAGCAAAACCTACATAAATGATTATAGAGTAAACAGATTCATTAGAAACGTTACCCTGGGTATCGATAAATGTATCGATCCCCAATTTACATGCTAGAGCACTACGATGTAAGATTTTGATGGTTATAACAAGGAAGAAAAAGGGATTACGGTTATAGTTTACTTGCTTACACATGGGTTTAGCGATCGAGAGAAGCTTACTGTATGTTTATGGAGTCTTTGTGGGTGCGTGTGTGT